ATCGGACGATAATTGCTACATACATATAATACCCTCAAAACGTAGTATTGGGGGGTGTAAAAATTTAAAAAATTTAAAATTCAAAATTGTAAATCAAATTGAAAAAATCGCATGCGATAAAAGAATATGACAAAAATGGAAAAAATGAAACAAAAGATATAACTTTTTTGTTGGTATATTATCCCGCGATTTTCTTAGATTTTATCCTTTTCTGGCAAGAGACCATTCCGAATTGATCGGAATTGTGAAAATCGGCCCAGCGGTTCTTGATTTATAAGCAGATTAAATAAAATATTTATTGTATATATTTCGCTATATATCCGATTTATTGGCTATTAGCATCACTGTAATGGTCAGAAGTGATTTTTTAATGTATTTGTGATTTGGCTGGGATTAAAAATATTCGCGGTTTAGTGAAAGTTTTTCTATTTTCTTACATAAAAGTTAGGGTCTATTTTACCCGTTAATTATTGTCCGATGGCCGCTCAAATTGGTAGGTTTCTTCCCAGTCCCAAACTCTAACTCCATGTAAATTTTCGCGTCGATTGATTCATAATTGTGGCCTATAGAGCAACTGCAAAATCAGGAAATTTTTCAATTTTTGGTCCATTTCAACCCCTAAATATCGTGCGATCATCTCCAAAAACAATAAGGTCCTATTCCTACCCTAACCCCACCTCCATTTTCAATTTCGTGAGGATCGGTTCATAATTGCGACCTGTAGCTTGATTACAAATTGAAATGGACAGACGGACGGACGGACAGATCGGCTAGATCGACTCAGCTCGGCGAGCTCGGAAACCAATATTTCGAGGTGTTACATAATAGTGTTGTAGGGTATAAATACCGAATATCGGGGGTACCGTTATATGCGGGCTATACGATATCGTGGACCTATATAGAGAATTATCTTGCAGGGGGTAAAATACCCACCAGGAACTCCTTGTGAGGAATTTTAGACAATTCCGTTGAAAATTGTGGCTAAAATCATCAAAATACCGAATATCGGGGGGTTCCGTATGGAGGCTATACGATATCATGAACCTATATAGACAATTCTCATTCAGGGGTAATGTGCTCACAAGGAACTCCTTGTGAGGAATTTTAGACAATTCCATTGAAAAATGTGGCTAAAATCATCAAAATACCGAATATCGGGGGGGGTGCCGTTATATGGACCGATATAGCCCATCTTCGATATCGTGGACCGATATAGCCCATCTTCGAACTCTACCTGCCTGCAGACAACAGACAGATCTGTGCAAAATTTTAGCTTCCTATCTTAATTTGTTTTGACTGTAGCGTGATTAACCCAGACGGACATGCAGATAGACGGACATCGCTAGATCATCTTAGGATTTTACGCTGATCAAGAATATATATACGTTACAAACGGAATGTCGAACTTAATATACCCTCCATACTATGCATGGTGGAGGGTATAAAAACTGCAACAAAGTCAAACACCATAATTTTTATACCCTCCACCATTCTATGGAGGGTATATTAACTTTGTCATTCCGTTTGTAACTCCTCAAAATATTCATAATAGACCCTACAAAGTATATATATTCTGGATCAGCGTAAAATTCTAAGGGGATCTAGCGATTTCTATCTGTCTGTCTGTCCGTCTGACTGTTCGTCTGCCTGTCTGTATATCTGTTGTAATCACGCTATCTTTCGAATGAATTAAGATAAAAGGCTAAATTATTGCACCAGTAGGCAGATTAAGTTCGTAAATGGGCCATGTCTGTCCACGTTTTCGAATAGCCCCCATATAACGGTACCTTCCGATATTCGGTATTTTTATGATTTTAGCGACATTATTCACCGGAATTGTTTCAAATTTTGTACTTGAAATTCGTAATGGATACTACAGCCTGTGACAGGAGATTGTCTGTGCAGATCCACGTCTTCGTATAGCCCCCATATAACGGTACCTGCCGATATTTAGTATTTTCATGATTTTAGCGACTTTATTTACCGGAATTATTACGGAATGGTTACTACAGCCTATGACAAAAATTTTCTTATGCTGGTCTACGTCATCGTATAGCCCCCATATAACGGTACCTGCCAATATTCACTATTTTGATGATTTCAGCAACATTATTCACCGGAATCGTTTCAAATTTCGTACTGGAAGATCCTAATGCGTACTACAACCTATGACAAAAAATTTCGTATGCAGGTCCAAGTCTTCGTATAGTCCCCATATAACGGTTTTCATTTAAGTGGTAGTTTTCGGTTTTTTTTTTTAATTTTTCAATTTCCTTTGAAATGGTGGAGGGTTTTAAAAGTTCGGCGCAGCCGAATATAGCTGTTTTTTTACTTGTTATATATTTTTTTCAAATTTTATTAAATGAAAGCAAAAAATGTCGGAAATAGCATCAAATTTTAGCAAAAGTTTAGATTTGATCGAATTGGTCACCTTTGGCACGAATTAGGGACTTCAAACGGCCAATGAAACACGCTGTCCGTATGTTGCTCTGCGGTATTTTGACCCATACCCGGAGAAGAGCTTGCTTGAGGTGATCGACACTTTGGTAATTTTTAGTGACAACCTTTCTTTCCATACTACTCCAGATACAATAGTGCAACGAATTGGTATCCAGAGATTTTGGTGGCCATTGTGCGCTGGAAATGAAGCGAGGAACCTCATTTTGTAACCATTCTTGAGTGGTGCGTGCTGAGTGCAATGGTGCTGAGTCCTGTTGGAATGTCAAAGGTCTGCGGCCCCAAATGTTTGCGTGTCCAAGGCTTTAAAATACCCTCCAGAATATTTTCGCGATAATATTTGGCGTTAATTCTAATGCCATGGTCGATTAATACGAGCGGAGAGCGAAAATCGGCTGTTGTAGCTGCCCACCCCATCACCATGGCCGGCGCTTGAGTTCTTGAATGGCTAATCGAAGGTGCACATTTTCAGCTGACCTCTTTGGCAAGTAAACACGATCATTTTGTTTGCTTACAAACTGCTGGACAAAGAATTCTTTCTCATCGGAGAAACCAAGTTCGGCAGTTCAACACTTTCGGTCAACCGAAGCAACTCTTTAGCTCTTTGAGTCTATTTTCTGTTCATTCCTTTGCGGTTTAAGTTCTGGCACTTTTTGGAATTTCAATGGCTTTACCCCGAGCTCATTTTTTATTATTTGCCGATTGGAATATTGCGATATGTTCAGCTCACGAGCCATTTTTCGACCACTGCGACGCGGGTTTCGATCAAGTCGCTTCATTACTTTTGAAACCATTTTTGCTGATGTTGCTGTTATCTTCCGTCTACTTCCACTCCTTTGACGTCGGGCTACACTACCAGTACCAGTATCACGGTAACGAGCGATGATACGAGACACAAAAGATCTATTCACATTTAAATGCTGGAGTGCTCCAACGATAGCCACTTATGGTTTTCCAGAAAGAAATCACACTGTCACACTTAAATTCCATCACGAATAACTTTTTTCTGGAAAATTCTCACCAAAATGTTTTGGCACGCTTGTAAACAATATAATGAGCTGTCACTGGAAAAATTTCTACAGCTGTCGGACAAGTGGCTTAGAAATGTCAGCAGTCTGAAGTTGGTTGCACTTTGTTTATCTCACCCTGTATGTGACAGCTATATTTATATCTGAACCGATTAAGATCAATTTCAACAGAACAAATTCTTTGGCGAGAGAAAAATTTTGGCGAGAAAAAATAATTTGATGATTTGGAGTTATGGATCTATCTCGATTCCTTTCACATGTTACACACAAATATACAATGACTTAGTGCGACCCAAAAAAAAATATATATAATAATCCGAAAGTTGTATGACTCGAATAACCTATTTAAAAATATATATTCCATTTCGCATATGACTTACAATTTTGGTAATCATCATTTCTTATATTTTATACCCTCAGCCAAATAACTATGAAGGGTATATAGCATTTGATTCTGCTAAAACGTGTCTCATCGAAATAACGGTTTTAGACCCTAGGTCTCTTTGGACCAAATCCATATCAGGACATTTGTTCGAGCGATCTAACTATGTCCGTCCGTCTGTCTGTCTGTCTTTCTTGCTGGATGGCTGGTGCGCACGATCTCTCGAAGGGAGGAGGAGATTTGGTCGAAATTTGGTACATCGTAACAATTTTATCAAACTTAGATCAAGTTCGGATATTGGAAATATCCGTCCACTCCTTCTGGTTACCCTACCCCCCCTCCCCCCACCCACAAAAGCTCGATTTTTTCAAAAAAAAAAAATATTTCTGCACAGAAAGAGAAACGAAACGTCAGTGCTAGGTCATGTGCGAAAATGTACAATATCGGCCCACTCTATCAAGTACCAAAAATTGCCCTAAAATGGATAAATAATAATATGAAAGACCTTCATTAAAGGGCTGTTCCAGATACTTTACTAGTCTGGCAAACTTCTTCGATATTATAAAGGGAAACTCTGTTATCATTGTTAACACTTTTACATTCTTGCAGTTCTGGAACAGACCATTATTATCTTCTTTTTTTAAATTCGCTATAACGTCGTCAATTTGTCAAATAACTACCTTACCCAAGTATCAAAATAACGATTTACTCCTGGAAATCTGTCCAATTATCCTAGGTTTTTTTTTTCAAATACTCTGTCAAATTTAGTTGAAATTTTACACATAGTAATCTGAATATCAGTCCAAGATTGGGTGCGAAAATTGGCAACAGTGGTTCTCCTTCTTAAAAAATGCGAAAACTACCCCACTGGAGGCAAATTTGGCATTTGATGTAGTCCAGTTTATTATTATTTTCAGTCCACGCCTCCTCGTATGTCGCACACAACTCAAAAATTATAAAATATGAAAACAATGTCCGATTTCTTAAAACTTCGGACATCTCAATATATTTTTCTTAATATATCAAGATGTCAGCCCAGTTCAGCCCAAAAAACGCAACTGAACCTTTCTAACATCTTTATTATAAAAATGCTTATCATGATATGTTTTCAATTTTCACTGAAATATTTTTTTATCAATCCTCAAAATTTGTTGATCAACTTCCTTCACAATCTCAAGGCATACGATTTACAGCAAACATGTGGAGGTGGTGGATCGAAAACAGGCTTCCCATTCTCATCCAAATACTCCTTGTAAACAACTGTGTTGATACAATCCCAACCCTGGTGCTCCTTGATTCGGGCCGAATAGAAACTGCTGCAATCGGCCCTCAGCAGTTGATAACCCTTCTCTCTACCCAAATCTCGTAGAAAATCATAGAATCTCGCAGCAATATTCCGACCACGCATCGTGTGATCCACACATGTTCCAATGATATAGAGAATTCTCTCAACGCCATAACGTTGACCAACCTTGGCATCACGTTCAATGCAGCCGAGTAGCTTTAAAATTTTCCCCCATTTGGTGTTGCCTTCTATGGCAGCTGCTTCAAACAATTGGTCGGCCTCATCTATACCCTGTGGCCCGGCTATACAAGCACCAATAATTTTATTGCTTGGTTTATGCACCGCCATAACACAGCTACCATATTTGATGTTGTCCAAAAGAAATTCCTCCTCCCCTGGTGAAGCCACTCCTTGCGGTTCTGTGTAGCCCGTTAAGGGCTCATCGGTGAAAAAATATTTTCTCAAGATTTCACGGATTTGTTGACGATCTTCCTCTTGGATTATTTTAAGCTCTATATCATCAGGACAGCTCATTTTAATGTGGGAATCTTAGACGCTGTGGTGCTGGTTAGGCGCGACCAATTAGGCGAGTGAAACGCAGGCAATTGTTGTTGTGACCAGCCACTAGCTGCTATAAAAAGTGTTTCTAATTTCATTCGAATCATCAATTGTGGAGATAAGAACGGCGTTGTTGGTGTTGTTCTTGTTTCTGTTATTCTAGCATTTACCATGAAATATGTCAATGACTTGTCATATTTTGAACTTTGATAACAAATTAAATTTGGGGCTCTCACTTCTAGGCTAATGTCCAAATTATTAACTTACTCGCAAAAGTAATGGTTCAAAATAAACCGATAACCCTAAGAACAAGTAAAATCAGGCAACGAAAACGTAGACTGATTTCTAAAAATTTTTTTAAGGTGTATATTCATTTTGTCATTCCGTTTGTAATTCCTCGATATACTCATGTCAGACCCAAGAAAGTATATATTCTTGATCAGCGTAAAATACTATGACGATTTAGCCATGTCCGTCCGTCTAACCGTCTGTGGAAATCACTCTAGCTTCCGAACGAAATGAAGTAAGTTGATAAAAATTTACCCAAATGTAAATTTCGTCTGCATGACTTTTGGTATTAATGTAGGTCCACGTTTCGGTATAGCCCCCATATAACGATACCTCCGGATATTCGGTATTTTGATGATTTTAGCGACATTATCCACCGGAATTGTTTGAAATTTGGCATTTGAAGTTCGAAATGGATACTACAGCCTAAGACAGAAAACTATATGTGCAGGTTCACGTCTTCGTATGGATAGATACTACAGCCTATGACAGAAAATTGTCTGTGCAGGTCCACTTCTTCGTATAGCCCCCATATAATGGTACCCCCGATATTCGGTGTTTTGATGATTTTAGCGTCATTATTCACCGGAATTGTTTCAAATTACGTATTCAGAGTTCGTAACGGGAACTACAGCCTCTGACAGAAAATTGTCTGTGCAGATCCATGTCTTTGTTAAGCCCCCATATAACGGTACCTCCCGATATTCGGTATTTTGATGGTTTTAGCGACATTATTAACCGGAATCGCTTCAAATTTGGTATTTGAAGTTCGTAATGGATAATATAGCCTTTGATAGAAAATTGTCTGTGCAGGTCCAAGTCTTAGTATAGGCCCCATAGAACGGTACCTCCCGATATTCGGTATTTTGATGATGTTAGCGTCATTATTCGCCGGAATTAGTTTACATTGTGTATTTGAATTTCGTAATGGATACTACAGCCTATGCCAGAAAATTGTCTGTGCTGGTCCACGTCTTCGTATAGCCCCCATATAACGGTATCTCCCTATATTCGGTATTTTGATGATTTTAGCGACATTATTCATCGGAATTGTTTCAAATTTGGTATTTGAAGTTCGAATTGGATATTACAACGTATGATAGAAAATTGTCTGTGCAGGTTCACGTCTTCGTATAGCCCCCATATAACGGTACCTCCCGACATTCGGTATTTTGATGATTTTAGCGACATTATTAACCGGAATTGTTTCAAATTTGATATTTCAAGTTCGTAATGGATACTACAGCCTTTGATAGAAAATTGTCTGGGCAGGTCCACGTCTTCATATGGCCCCCATACAACGGTACCTCCGGATATTCGATTCTTTGTTGACTTTAGCGACATTATTCATCGGAATTGTTTCACATTTGGCTTTTGAAGTTCGTAATGGAAACTTCAGCCTATGTCAGAAAATTGTCTGTGCAGGTCCACTTCTTCGTATAGCCCCCATATAACGGTACCCCCGATATTCGGTGTTTTGATGATTTTAGCGACATTATTCACCGGAATTGTTTCAAATTTGGTATTTGAAGTTCGTAACGGATACTACAGCCTAAGACAGAATATTGTCTGTGCAGGTCCACGTCTTCATATGGCCCCCATATAACGGCATCTCCCGATATTGGGAACTTTGTTGATTTTAGCTTCATTATTCTTCGGAATCGCTTCATATTTGATATTTGAAGTTCGAAATGGATACTACAGTCTGTGACAGAAAATTGTCTGTGCAGGTCCACGTCTTCATATGGCCCCCATACAACGGTACCTCCGGATAATCGATTTTAGCGACATTATTAATCGGAATTGTTTAACATTTGGCATTTGAAGTTCGTAATGAATACTACAGCCTAGGACAGAAAATTTTCTATGGAGGTACATGCTTTCGTATAGCCCCCATATATCAGTACCTCCCTATATTCGGTATTTTAATGATTTTAGCGTCATTATTCACCGGAATTACTTCAAATTTGGTATTTGAAGTTCGTAATGGATACTACAGCCTATGACAGAAAATTGTCTGTGCTGGTCCACGTCTGCGTATAGCCCCCATATAACGGTACCTCAAGATATTCGGTATTTTGATGGTTTTAGCGACATTATTCACCGGAATTGTTTCAAATTTGGTATTCGAAGTTCGTAACGGATACTACAGCCTAAGACAGAAAATTTTCTATGGAGGTACATGTTTTCGTATAGCCCCCATATATCAGTACCTCCCTATATTCGGTATTTTAATGATTTTAGCGTCATTATTAACCGGAATTGTTTCGAAATTGATATTTGAACTTCGTAGTGGATACTACAGCCTAAGACGGAAAATTGTCTGTCCAGGTCCAGGTCTTCGTATAGGCCTCCTATATCAGTTCCTCCCTGTATTCGGTATTTTGATGATTTTAGCGTCATTATTCACCGGAATTATTTCAAATTTGGTATTTGAAGTTCGTAGTGGATACTACAGCCTATGACAGAAAATTGTCTGTGCAGATCCACGTCTTCGTATAGGCCCCATATATCTGTGCCTCCCTATATTCGGTATTTTGACGATTTTAGGTACAATACCCACCGAAATTGTTTGAGATGTCGTATTTGAAGTTCGTAATGGATGCTACAGCCTGTGACAGAAAATTGTCTATGCTGGTCCAGGTCTTCACACAGCTCCGATGTAACGGTACCTACCTATATACGATATTTGTTTGATTTTAGCTACATTATTCGCCGTTTATTTCAAGTTTCGAATTTGAATATGGTAATGGCTTATGACAAACAATGCCTATGTAGGTCCACGTCGTATAGACCCCAAAATAAGGGCTATATTCGGTATTTTTAAAATTTTAACAGAATTTTTTAAGGATTTTATTTTTTGAAGATTTCCAAATTCATTCCACATGGTGAAGGGTATTCAAAGTTCGGCTTGCTATTTTTTTTTTTATTTCTAGAATTCATTCAGGAAGTTTTCAGTTTCATATTCTCATAGATATTCCTCCTCTCAAATGCTCATAGATATTCCTAGGTAATCCTCCAACTCATCCCCTCTCTCTCTCTCTCATCTAACACTCACTCCAAAAACTGGTTTTGCCAAAAACAAATCTTAACTCTAATCCCCCACTTGTTAAGTTAAAGACACGACAACTACACTTAATTGCTGGTGTAAACTAGCAGTGATTAATGTCGTCTTTAGTAGTGTACATATGTCTTAGTGGATTATATTTATAATTGTGTCGTCTTAACACAACTTTCGACTCAACGAGTGAAGAAGAGAGTGAGAGAGAGAGAGGGAGAGAGTATCCTATGAGACGAAGAAAGAAAATGAACTAAGTTTTCAACTAAACTTCAGCAGCAACAAAAGCAACACCAACAACTTGATGGCATAGAGAGACTCCATAATTCTTTCTCTATTGAATTTCGATGTTCGAAAACTTAAAAACGTGTTCTGCTTCTTCTTCTTCGGCTTCCCGTTAACCGTGCAACGTGACAATGTGCCACACATTGAACAGCCGAAAGAAACAACATTGCCAAAAGGGTTATGTCTTACCTCCACCTATTTCTTGTTTGTGTTTTCTACTTCTATCTCCACTTTTCATTTGATTTCCCATTTGGTTGTTTATGTGTCCCAATGTGTGTGTGTGTGTCGAACATCTGTCTGTCCGTCTGTCCGTCTGTTGTAATCACGCTACAGTCTAAACGAATTAAGATAGGAAGCTAAAATTTTGCACAGATCTCTCTTTTGTCTGCAGGCAGGTCAAGTTCGAAGATGGGCTATATCGGTCCACGATATCGTATAGCCCCCATATAACGGTACCCCCCGATATTCGGTATTTTGATGATTTTACCCACATTTTTCAACGGAATTGTCTGAAAATCCACACAAGGAGTTCCTTGTGGGTACTTTATACCTCGGCAGAGAATTGTCGATATAAGTCCACGATATCGTATAGCCCCCATGTAACGGTACCCCCCCATATTCGGTATTTTGATGATTTTACCCACATTTTTCAACGGAATTGTCTGAAAATCCACACAAGGAGTTCCTTGTGGGTACTTTATACCTCGGCAGAGAATTATCTATATAGGTCCATAATATCGTATAGCCCCCATATAACGGTACCCCCCGATATTCGGTATTTTGATGATTTTACCCACATTTTTCAACGGAATTGTCTGAAAATCCACACAAGGAGTTCCGTGTGGGTACTTTATACCTCGGCAGAGAATTATCTATATAGGTCCACGATATCGTATAGCCCCCATACAACGGTACCCCCCCATATTCGGTATTTTGATGATTTTACCCACATTTTTCAACGGAATTGTCTGAAAATCCACACAAGGAGTTCCTTGTGGGTACTTTATACCTCGGCAGAGAATTATCTATATTGGTCCATAATATCGTATAGCCCCCATATAACGGTACCCCCCGATATTCGGTATTTTGATGATTTTACCCACATTTTTCAACGGAATTGTCTGAAAATCCACACAAGGAGTTCCTTGTGGGTACTTTATACCTCGGCAGAGAATTATCTATATAGGTCCACGATATCGTATAGCCCCCATACAACGGTACCCCCCCATATTCGGTATTTTGATGATTTTACCCACATTTTTCAACGGAATTGTCTGAAAATCCAGACAAGGAGTTCCTTGTGGGTTCTTTATACCTCGGCAGAGAATTATCTATATAGGTCCATAATATCGTATAGCCCCCATGTAACGGTACCCCCCGATATTCGGTATTTTGATGATTTTA